GGTGAGCAAAGTAATCTGATACTTGTACTGGTAGAAAATAGCATGCTCAACGGAGTAGTAGAGATGTGCGCAAATTGACTCGACACTACACTCGTAACAAAAAGAAAAGAACAATAATGTATCATAACAAAAGCGCAAACTATTCAAATAAAATAAGTAACATTGAAACAGAAATCAACCATATGAATTCGTAAAAGACATTTTAGGTCTCCACCCATAATACATAAACCAATGTAGTAGTACTAGTTTTAGAACAACTCTCAAATTTAGAAACTTGCTGCTGTAATATCCTATCTCTCATTCCCAAATTAAAACTTCCATCATCAAAGTTAAGAGCATAACTTAAAGGATCATACTGAAATTTGACTTGTCTTTTGCTTTCACCATTGCTTTTCACTACTTTCTTTACTGCTGCTCTCATTCTACCAAATAAACACTTGCATTGTTTCTTGCTATAGTTGTTTATCCATAAAAAACTTCTCACAAATCCACCCATGATATAATAAAGAAATCAAGAAAACCCCACTTAAATTGAAGCAAATTTTGGTCTTTTTGGATTTATTTCAAGTTCTTACATTTGTATATAGCAATAATATATATCAAGAACAAAGAAAAAGGCAAAAAGGGTGTTTGAAAATGGCAATTTTGGCCTTAAAGATGGAGTGAGGAAAGCAAGTTTGGTTTATGTGTGATGAATGGGGAGGACCTTTATATTATAAAAAATTTAAGAAAAATAGAATATATTTTTTTGTTTTCTTTTTGTGGGGTTTGGTTATATTCAATGGAAAGTAAAATGGAAACAAGAAAGAAACACGAAAATGCAAATTTTTTGGGTCTTTTAAAGAAGCTGTGCCCTTACCAGTTCCAGTATCTTCTTAGTGTAACACTTTTTCTTGCATTGGGAGACTCAAATTCCATGATCCATTAGAGAGAAAAAGAAGAATTTTGTTGGGGTTGGGGTTGGGGTTTTTTTTTTTTTTTTTAGGTGTTGGGGGGGGGGGTAAAACGGCTGTGGGGAAGAGAGCCCACTACATGGTAGTGTCACTATCAAATTAGTTGTAATGTGACAAAAACAAAGGGCGAATGTGAGCAAAAATTATTGGTAAAATGCATTGTATAGCTGCTTTTAAAATAATAGCAAAAAAATATATGTTTTTTGTATATATATAAAATCTATATATCATATACAAAAATTATATAAATTTTATACACTTTTTCGGCTACCGAATGTAAATAGTTTCTGGCACAGGCTAAAAGTGAAAAAAAAAATCAAAATTATCTGTACCTAGTGCTTGCATCAAATAAATACATATGACATAAATTTTGTATTTAAATTTTTATTGAACAGATATGCATGCAATGTAAACTCAGCGTGTTCAATTGAATCCAGTATTTTTACATGAAACATAAATATCATGCAAAAGATGATTAAAATTTCAACAATAGTAAAATATGAATCAATACTGCAAAATACGCATATGTTAGTTGAACGTAGGTTGAACACATCACGTTTAAATTATAAATTCATTTTTGAAAATTAAATTATATATCTTATAGGAGTAATTAATTATTTGATTTATGGTACATATTAGGTGGGAAGAAATAATTTGCTTACGGAAGGGGTGAATCTTGTGATATCTTTCACGTACGGTAGGGATATGTTTGAGACTTTACTTTTCAAAGTAGTAGATCTTTTAGGCCCCTCTTTACATGCGAATACTCATAAATCAAAAGTATATTGGTAAAAATTTATTTGCACTAAATGTTTACATCAGACCAATAATAATATGATATGCGTATTCTAGCTATGTTATTACTTCATCCGGTCCATTTTAATCGATTATTTGACCTTTTTTATGGTCCATAATATTTGATTTTTTCAGATATAGAGAAGAAATTAATTTCTTTTTTCAAATTTGCTCTTGGAGTAACAGCTTGTTTGGATGGTTGTTACATATTGTTTCATAATGTATCGTATTGTATGGTATTGTATTGTTTGATAAATATAATGTTTGGATAGATTATATCGTTTGTCATCGTTTCATGGCATCATGCACCAGCATTATGAAGAATAAACTTGCAATATTATAAACAAAAATTATGATACAGATACAATTGTTATATGAAAATATAGGATAAATGATCAAATAAAATTATTTAATTATAATGAAGGGTGAGATTGAGAGAAAAAGACAAGGTAATGATGCGACCACATCAAATCGGTCGTTACATAAAGTGGCATATTGCGTCGTTATGTAACGACGGATTCAACGATACGATACAATAAAATTTAAGTAACAATCAAAACAGACATCGTATTTAAAGTAACAATACGATACGATACAATATGTAACAACGATCCAACACAAGCTGTAAAGAGTGTAGGAGTATTTGTTATATTTTTAATGAACAAAATAAGATTAATATAGTCAATTTTTTGTAATACTAAAAAATGAATTCCTTAATATATGTAAAAATATAAAATAAAAAAATAATCAATTAAAATCGACCGAAGAGAATATAACTTAACTATGGTTAATTAATATGTGTTTTACCTTATTCATTACTTAATAATGGTAAAATAAATTGCATTGATATAAACACTTGGTGCAATAAGTACTTACTCTCTCAATTATTGGTATCAATCAGCTGTTTACACCAACTCAATCTAGTTTATCATGATTAAATATTAAATTAAAATGTACTCAAAGGTGATTAAACGAGTTAAGTGTATATAAAAGACTTACATAATTATCGTATACCGTGAACACTATATCTGACTAACTTAGTTTCTAAGGCTTTGATCTTTACACAAATAGCTGATCAAATTCACTATTTTACTTTTAGAAAAATGACATTGTATAGCCTCTCTCTCTCTCTCTATATATATATATATGAAATAGTTTCGGCCGCGGGCTAAAAGTGATCTTTGCCCTTTACTTTTTTTAGCCGATATACATTGATTATACACAATTGTACACATAAATATACCTGATTTACACATATATTATATATTTTTCGGTTATTCTTAATTTAAAAGATTGGACGGACGACTATTTAGGTTAATTTGTTTTTTGGAAGAATAAAGATGAAGTCAGAAAAGGGGAAGCTAAGGTCCGTGATTTTATTCTTGGAAATTAGCTCTCATTGATACATCAAATCAAAGAACCCTTTTTTATTGAAACTCCATTTGTCTCAACCAAAAGGCAATCTTACAAATGGTATAAATTTGGTTGGTTTCTATTCCTATCTTTCCTTCTTGTCTGCACACACAAAGCTGATTTCGTCTTTTTCTACATTTCTCATTCGAAATTCCTTTTTGTCCCTTTTCTTCTTGGCCCATCTTATCTTATGGGCCTCTGTGTAAATTAGTCCATTCTTTTGTCTTTGATATTGGCATCACCTCTTAATAGTGTACATATTTTAGGAGAGCGTCCGAGGACGTTGGTTGTTGGTGGCCCATAGCCATACACGTTGTGCCGCACTGAGACGGATTTAAGATTTAAATTTGGGGTTCAAACATTGACGACAACACCAATAACAACTTTGTAAAATTTCACAAGTGGGGTCTGGGAAGGTAGAGTGTACGCAGACCTTATCCCTACTCCAAAGGGGTAGAGAGACTGTTTTCTAAAGACCCTCGGCTCAAGAAGAAGAAAATAAATAATAGATAATGGGTTAGTGACAATTACAGAAGCCAGAAAAATAATTGAGAAAACTACCCTCTATAGCCCCTCAAAATTTTAATAGCCCATGTTTTGTCCTACTTACAAAAAATGGCCCTTCGGCCCAAAAGTATTGCATATAGTAGCCGAAAGGAATGAGTATGACAGCATAAGCGCCTGTAGCTTAGTGGATAGAGCGCTTGTTTCCTGAGCTGAAGGTCGTAGGTTCGACCCCTACTTGGCACAATAGAGCAACCCTTTTTTGCAATGTATAAATATTGTATCCTAAGTTCGACAGCTATCTGAACAATGTATCAAAATTGTATATAATGTGTATATAAATCCTTTTTTGCAATGTATAAATATTGTATCCTAAGTTCGACAGTGTATCCTTGGTGTATATTGAGCCTATCTCGAGTGTGCTTGTGTATCTAAAGTGTATATATTTGTGTACCCCAAATGTATTTTGTATCGTGAATGTATAATCTGTCTGAACAATGTATCAAAATTGTATATAATGTGTATTTTCTAATATGTAAACATAGTGTATATAAATTATATACAATTTTGTATGTGTAATGTGTGCACACTGTGTATTTGGAGTGTATCATGTATTTTTGTATAGTGACAGTCTTTTTTGTATATATTTTGTATAGTTACATCTATTTTGTATATATTTTGTATAGTGACAGTCTATTTTGTATATTTTTTGTACAGTGACAGTCTATTTTGTATATTTTTTGTATAGTGATAGTCTATTTGTATATTTTTTGTATAGTGACAGTCTATTTTGTATATTTTTTGTATAGTGACAGTCTATTTTGTATATATTTTGTATAGTGACAGTCTATTTTGTATATATTTTGTATAGTGACAATCTATTGTATATAAATTGTATAGTTATAGTCTATGTTGTATATTTTTTGTATAATGACATTCTATTTTGTATAATCATAGTCTATTTTTTATATTTTTTGTATAGTGATAGTCTGTTTAGTATGTATTTTGTTTCCAATTATCACTTTCAGAAGCATACTTCAATACGTAAAATATGTTTGATTCATCTTCCACAGAAGAGAAAATAAAAAATTATCATAGCCTCATTATACATAAAATGAAACAGAGAGAGTAACAAGAAATTGAGGCTCAGATTTGTGTTTAACCACAGGCAAAAAAAGAGAATCCAACGATGCCATGACTGCAAAAACCCACTGGGAGCATGCCCCCTACCAACAGCCTTATACTACAGCACACTTCCACTCAAAAACCATCACAAATTTATCACAAGAAAAATCAAGGATCCTTCGTGTAGTAAGCTAAGAAATGACAACAAAAATGCCTTTGATCAGAACTCTACTTCTTGCTCTTTTTCTCCTCTATCTTTCCCATTTCACAACTGGAAAAAAACCAAACACATCATCTTCTTCAACTGACCTAGTCCACACATCTTGTGTGCACGCCAGCTATCCGACGATTTGCGTCAGAACACTTTCCTCCTACTCAGGCTCAGCAATCCACACACCTCAAGACTTAGCTCAAGCCGCCGTAAAAGTAAGCCTTTCTCGAGCCCAAAAAGCGTCAGATTTCCTCTCCGAGTTGAAAGTTCAAAGCAAAAGAGAAAAAGGGGCATTGAGTGATTGTGTCGAACAGATGGGGGACACAATGGACGAGCTTAGCAAAACTCTATCAGAACTCAAACATTTGACAAAATCATCACGCCTCTTTTTAGCCGCCGATTATACTCACCGACACCGCTTTCACCAGCTCCACCGGCAAACATAGAATTCTCCGGCGAAAGCATTAAAGAAAGAAAAAGAAGAAAAAAAGTGAAAGGGTTGTTACTAATGCTATTCTTATTTAATCTACTAAACAACCCTTTAATAAAATTGATAAAAAGGGATGTTATTTGGGTTCTTACAGTATATGGAGAAATCAATGGCTAATTACAGAGAGACAAGCAACCGATCGAGATGATAGAAGAGAACGGGGCAAGGATAGGGATAGGGATAGCAGATTGAGCCGTAATTACTTTTGGGCTAGCCACTAGAATTGCTTTTGGGCTATAAAATGATATTGCAATTTTAGGGCTACCGGGTGATATATGTTTGGGCCGATGGGCTATAAATGATCTTCTCTCAAAATAATATCAGCATCATAAGAAACCGAAAATAAATGAAAAAGCAATAACAATACTCGGTATTTTTGAAACATTGAATTTTTCAAAAATATGGGGTTTAAAAAGCTGAAGAATTAACCTAAATAGACGTCCACCTAGCCGCTTAAAAAAATAATAGCATACCCAGTGTGATCCCACAAGTGAAGTATGGGGATGATGGAATATACGTAGACCTTGCCTCTACCTTGTATGAAGTAGATAGGTTGTTTTTGATAGACTCCCAGCTCAAGAAATCCAACCGCTTACATAAATATAGGTATAATCTGTGTTTAACTATATACAAGTAGTATGTAATCTATGGCTATAAAAAGAAAACGGTAAATTCAGCTGGCTATTTGTATAGAGATCCCTTTAAACTTAAAGACGTTTAGATTAGCTGATAGTAACAACTGATAGGCTTTAAGTGTTAAAAAATATTTTTTAAGAAAATAAGGAATGTCGAATATGGAACAAAGAGGAGGTTAGGGTTTTTGTTTTCAGAAAGGTATTTTGAGAATTAAAAAAATATTAAGAATAAAATACTAAAAGTCTTGGTAAAACTAATAGCCTGTTTGGCTAAGCTTTTTTTGGGGCCAAAAGTGCTTTTTGCCACCAAAAATACTTTTGGCCAAAAATTGAGGTGTTTGGCCAAGCTTTTGGAAGGAAAAAAAGTGCCTTTGAGGAGAAACAGAAGCAACTTTTGAGAAGCAGAAAAAGTAGCTTCTCTCCAAAAGCACTTTTTTGAGAAAAATTTACTTAGAAGCAGTTTTCAAAAGCTTGGCCAAACACTAATTACTGCTCAAAAGTGCTTTTCAAATTAATTAGCCAAAGACAAACTGATTCTCACAAAAAGCACTTTTTTAAAAAGTACTTTTGAGAAAAGCACTTTTCAAAATAAGCTGATTTTAGAAGCTTGGCCAAACGGGCTATAATAGTGCTTATAAGTTAAACACCATTATGACTTTTCGATCGATTGATTTGGACTTATAAGCACTTAATGTTTCGCCAACAACAACAACAATAACAATGACCCACTAGAATCTTACTAGTGGGGTCTGGGGAGGGCAGTGTGTGCGTAGACCTTACCCCTACCCCGAGGAGTAGAGAGGTTATTTCCGAAAGACCATCGGCTCAAGAAGATGAAAAGAGACAATATCAGTACCACAAACAGATAACATAAGAAAAAATAACAACATCATGAAAACCAGAAAATAGGTGCAAAGCAAAAGCGATAGCCAGTAAATAGACTCGGCACTATGAAAAACGAAAGAGTAGTAAGACACAACATTGCCACTAGCTGTCGCAGACAAAAACCTACCAAACTAGCCTCACAAAGGTACGAACTAAGAAAAGACTCAACTGCCTCCTAACCTACAAGCTACAATCCTAATACTCGACCTCCACGGCTTCCTATCAAGGGCCATGTCCTCGGAAATCTGAAGCCTCGCCATGTCCTGCCTGATCACCTCTCCCCAATACTTCTTAGGCCGCCCTCTACCTCTTCTCGTGTCCTCCAAAGCCAGCCGCTCACACCTCCTTGCCGGAGCATCTAGGCTTCTCCTCTATACGTGCCCGAACCATCTGAGCCTCGCTTCTCGCATCTTGTTATCAATGGGAGCCACTCCCACCTTCTCCCGAATATCATCATTCCTAATCTTATCCATCCTAGTGTGCCCGCACATCCACCTCAACATCCTCATCTCTGATGCTTTCATCTTCTGGATATGTGAGTGCTTAACAAGCCAACACTCAGCACCATACATTATGGCCGGTCTAACCACCGCTTTATAAAACTTACCTTTGAGTATCGGTGGCACTCTCTTGTCACACAGGACTACAGATGCTAACCTCCACTTCATCCACCCCACTCCAATACGGTGTGTGACATCCTCGTCGATCCCCCCTCCCCCTTGGATGACCAACCCAAGGTACTTGAAACTGCCTCTACTTGGGTGACCTGTGTTTCAAGCCTCACATCCACGTCCACTTTCCTCGACTCAGCGCTGAACTTAGACTCCAGGTATTCCGTCTTCATCCTGCTCAGATTGAAACCCTTAGACTCAAGAGCCTGTCTCCAAACCTCCAGCCTTTCCTTAACACCGGCTCGCGACTCATCAATCAGAATTTTGTCACCAGCGAATAACATACATCATGGCACCTCCCCTTGAATATGGTGTGTTAACGCGTCCACCACTAGGGTAAATAAGAACGGGCCGAGCGCAGAACCTTGGTGCAACCCCATAACACAAGATGTTTCGCCAAATACTGTCTTAATATTTATACTACTTTTCTGATTTCTTTTTCTCAAAAATATTTAATAGTATAAGTTACACAATAATATTACTGTAAATGAGTACTAGTGCAGTAAAATTTTGGCATTGAGTCATTGACTAACTTGGAAATGCTGAATCAACTTTTGCTGAGTGCTTACTGGCAATTGGCAATTGGATTGCGATTGGTCAGCTCTTTGCCCACTTCGGCATTTTCGCCACTGTAACTTTTTGAGAATACTCAAAACCAACCCACTTTTTTTTAAGAAAAAAGACTTTACAAGTCCAATGAGACAATTTTCAGCCCACTAAGAAAATTTTCTCTCGGATATAGCTTCCTGGTTTTTTTCCTATGTTGCAGTATTATACTTTTGGATAAATATATATTTTTAGTCACAGAGGTGGATCTAGGATTTTAATTCTAAGGGTTCAGCATTTATAGTTTTTAGTATTGAAACCATTATATTTTCAAAGTTATGGATACATATCGACTATTTATAACAATTTTAGTAATTTTTACACATAAATTTATGGTTAACGCCGAGCATACTGTGTTCAGTTGAACCCGATAGTTCTATATTGCATCCGCCCCTGTTTAGTCACTCCCAAAATAATAGCCGATAAAATATATATTATTACACGGTGTATCATTCTTACCGGTAGTATTAATACAATTCTTGTACTTTCGCATTCCTAAATCATTGTTAATGCACACTGGGCCATTTATTTCGGTTGTCCTGTTACCTTATTGTTGCTTTTGTCTGTTTATATAGCTTCTTTTTCATTATTCATGAGCAGATGGTCTATCGAGAATAGTTTCTCAACAATATTCCTAAGGTAGGGGTAAGATCAACATACACATTACCCTCCCAGACCCCACATATGAAATTTCACTGGATTTTTTTTGTTGTTGTTGTTGTTGTTATATATATATATATATATATATATATATATATATATATATATATATATATATATATATATATATTATTTTGTTTTCTTACTGATTGGCTAAAACTAAAGCAGACAGAAGGATGTAAAAGTAAGGTAAGGTTTTGAAGATAGTAATGAGGATTAATTTCATGGATGATTATTTAATTTATACTTAATATATTAAAATTATAAAACTATTTTTTGTAATAAAAGAATCACTCAACATTACATCACGAAAGTCATCAAACAATTTTTTGTAACCAAAAAGTTACTCAAATTTACTTAAGGATCCATAAAGTCAATAAGAGAATAAACAATCTATGTTACATGTGAACAAAACCAAACATAAAGAGGTAATTAGTTCTTAAATATAAAGATTAAATTCGAGTCAAAACTAAATATTGTAACTTAAATTTACATTTTAACAGAAACAAGGAACTCAATTTATTGCTTGTCATTGCTTTTCAGTGCACAATGTATCAGTTCAGGCGGACATAATTTTATTATATATATATATATATAATACTATATATATATATATATATATATATATATATATATATAGATATATATAGAGAGACATATATAGAGAGAGAGAGATTAGGAAGCAGATCTTGGATAAGAATTGGGGCAAGATCAACATAGGATAAAAGAAGATCTTCATTTTAAAATGAAAAAAACAGTCCAGTGTGTGAAGTATTCCGTGTCTACGTATGGTTCGGAAAAGAGCCGCACAGGGGGTGTAATATAGGTAGTCTACCCTAATGGAAGTATTAGTGACTCATTCCACGGCTCGAACTCGTGATCTATAGGTCACACGAAGACAACTTTACCGTTATTGTAAGGCTACCCTTCAAAATCTTCATTGTATCTACTTATTTTAAGATAATATTAAAGAAGAAACTAAAGCAGTTCTTTCTTGATAATTGCAAATATAATAGAATATGTGTAAAGCACTGAGCTGTTGCTTGGCTCGATAAGAACAATATGTTGTGAGATTCGCACATGTAATTTGCATCCTCTAATAGTGCAGCTGCTAGTTTTAGACAGACTGACTAATATCAGATATAAGAGTATCTCATTTGGATTTGCTACCTTCATCTTTTTGTAGCTTTTTCTGTAATGGCATGCACAACATAGAGATTAGAGAACATGCAAGGGGTTTCTGGATAAAAACTTATCCGCGTTCGATATTTATACTAGACCAATAAATGTACAATATATGCTTGCGCATATGCTTATTTTACTAATTATATCTCTTCACCTCATTTAATCAGTATATGTCATTTTTCCATTGATATTTCTTTTACAGGCCCAAGTCCCTAAGTGCAGCAATAATCACTTTTAAGTTCACTATTTAAAATATATCCATAATTCACAATGTATTTGAAGATGATCCAATTCACTCAAACTTCAGGACAAGT